ACCGATGAACACATTCTTGCCTACCCTTCCTACTTTTTCTTTTGGCATACCAGTCTCAAAACTCTTTAGATCTTTTTTCTTCTGTTTAGGGGACAATAAAAAAAAACTCTTGAGTGACCCCTGCTTTGCCAAAGAACGTGTTTTACTCAGTGTAATCAACATTTTGTTTCTCGAACTGATGCGTTTTGTTAGCGATAAAAAAGAAAAGGAATTTATAATACCTTCTTCGCCTTTACCACCACTAAACACATCTTTAGCAGCTGACTTTGCTGCAAAACGAACACAAACAAACGATTAGTATACTAGTGAGCTCATATGAAAATGATGAGAAACGCGAATCTTCAAGGAACAATAGTGAAGAATAAGGGTGTAAGACATGATAGAGACAGCGTCCGATTGGTCTCTGATTCAAAAATTATACTAAGAAGTTTTTTTAAGCAGATGCATTTGACGCGAAAACATCTTGCAAGGAGTAATAAAATATTGTTATTGTTATAAGTAAGTAACCCCTCAAATACTCCTTGTATAAACCACGCCCTTTGTTTTGTCCTTGACACGTAAAAAAGTTACGTAAAAAGTTACTTGTTTCATTCAAGGAATTCTGACGTTTTGCTTTTTTTGATTTTGATGAAAGTTACAATCATGCATGCAGTAAACTGTGACTGTGATTGTTTTGAAATTTCAAATAAAACAACTTTTGTATGATATAAATTCAAACCCAATTATCTTGCTGGCATGGAGTTGTTATTATAAGCTCTGCATAATTTAGGTTCGTTGGCCAGCAACACTGGCTCTGTAATAATAAATGACTTCTTAAAATTCTGTGCTAAAATCAAGGGGGCAAATATTTACTGAATTATGAAATCATTGTTTTATTTGGTCTTTTTAAGAGAAACAGAACTTTAACGCATGTTTAATGTTTTTTCCCTTCACGCTTGTAATAAAGAAGAGTTTGCAATTTTTCCGCATAATGTCTGAACAGCTCTACAGGAATTGTCTCGAAAATCCTTGCGGCAAAATTCGTTTCATTTCTTGACGAAAAAAAAAAGGCGCCTACATAGAAATAAATAAGGACTTTTTGGTTTCCATATTCTAGCAGCTACTAAGCTGTGAAAAAAGATATCTTGTGAGGAAACGCTTTCGTGGTATGTGCTATAAAAATGCACAGCTTAATTACTAGCCCATTGAATGCATCATTGAATATGGTGTTACCTTCCTTGCCGCTTGTTCTCCTGTCTGGTATAGGCATTGCCGAGATTTCAATTAGTTGGAAACGCTAGAGCGCGCTTCTCCCAAATTTTTGCCTCGAATGTGAAACTGAACGTCAAACCTTTCTTGTAACTGTTTTATTTACATCTTGGAGAAGACGCTCTTATTCGCGCGCTATGATTGGCTGGTCGCCTGTCAATCATTGGCCCAATCATTAGATGCAGCAGGTTTCTTGACCAAAATGACGGGTGGCTGTTTGGAGGGGACTTATACCTGTATTACTAAGTGGTTGTCAAATATCATTGAGCCGAGTGGACATTTCAAGCAGTTTTTGGATAATTTATTTCATCAAAGCGATAATGTTCGTAGGTCTATCACATAAAATGTTTGAATTTTTTTATTATTTTTTCGTCTTCTTTTCATGGATAAATTGTGGTACAAGTGTAGCCGTTAGCAGGTTATGGTTTAATGCTTCTTTCAACAAGGTGTTTCATCTACATCTCAAGGAAAGGAACCAAATAAAGTTTTATTTTCTAAAAATAATTTTTTGCATTTATCCTGAGTTTGCTCGAAATAGATTGGGAATTGATGCATGTTCTTTTCTTCAGAATTCGTGCCCCCCTAAATTGAATCAAAGTGTAGATCTTGAACTCATATTGCATAAGATATCTCCCGGCTAAGTTACATCTATGACATTGTAATGTTCCCTCAGATCGATTCATTTCAAAAGAGTAACCATGCTGTACCAGACCACTTGTAGACCTCTGGCAGGCTCGCTTTGTTTAAGGCTACATACTTTCACGCGGACGAAGAAACACTCGGGTCGAAGCCGTAACGACGAGAGCCTGCTCGCAGCCTAATCTTGATTTTCTCCAAAAAGCCTTTCAACGAGAATACTTTTATGTGAGACGAATCACTGAAGTGAAAGGGAGGTCCTCGTAAAAGCCAGCCTCGTATGATAAATTTGTACGCATATCGATGGATAGCAAACCAACCAGACGAGAGTACATGCACTTTGCGATGCGATTTAAATAATTCAGTTACGTGAAAAACTTCAACAAATTTTATACCCACTAAGGGGCCAAGTCCCGGTAAGACTATTCTGACATAGCTGCGGTAAGAAATCATCTCGGAAAAAAAATGATGACAGATCCGAGAGATATTCAGTGCAAGTTACCGACAGTGAATGTTTCTCGTGGCTAAAAATTCAAAGAAGATTTTTCAATAGGCAGAAGTCACGCAGCCATTTTACGTCAAGCAAATTACAGAATAAAAGAGGAAGCCAATGAACAATGAAAGAAATGGCTAGGTAAAGAAATCAGGATGAAATCCTTTCACTGCCGCAATTTGAGTGGAAGCACGAAAAGTAAACTAGATGGTACTTTCTTGAGTTTTGTCTAGGTAAAAATAGTTGGGCCAAGTTTTGACGAGCAAAAGGTGTCAGTCGTTGTTTGTCAGCTAAAGTAGCGCGAGGAACTGTAAATTGATTAATCCATGCGAAATTCGGAGTTAAAAATTTTAGCATGGAAACCACACCAGAAGGAACAATTTCACATATCAGTTCTACCTGTCAATAGATTAGGCAGATCTCCACCTGATTCAATTTGAAAAACGGTCATTAGGAACCAGTTAGAGGATATTTTAAAACTCACGTAACTGAGCTCAAATTTACGCTCAATCAGTTTTGATTTAATGTACGCGTGCTGTCAATTAAATTGTTCCAGATAAAGAATAAAGTAGAGTCTAAGTTTTCATTAAGATTTAACGGAGAAAAATGATCAGTCTTTTGCCTCTCTTAAAATAATTGGAACTGCTGTCAATTTGAAGTATTTGTGAGCAAAAAGCAGAAGTTTGAACAATCAAGAATAAATCAAACAAGCAAAATATTTAAATCGTTATGCAAATTCTGTAGCCGTAAACAGATAGTCAGTGTTGTGGTTCGAGATCACAAGCACAAAACAAGTTTGCTCTTTACAGTATTGGTTATGATAATTTTCGAGCCATCGCCGCTTTCAACTTGATGGTGATGACTTTCGGGTCACTCCCTGGCAAATGATAGAACGTGGGTATCAAAATGTAAAATTTTACAGAAGTCGCTTACCCCAGTTCCACGCTTTCCTCGGTTTCTCCTTGCTGGACTCCCACACGATCTTTATGATGCTCATTGGTATTAATCTTCTCGTGGTAGATTACATCATAGTTCATCGGAGGGTGGTGTGGAATCATAGGTGATCCTCTCATTGCGATCACAAACCAATGGTGTGACAATGATGTTTAAATTCATTACAAAATAGTCTCTAGGGCGATGTATATCATAGTAAAATATGCCATAACATGATTGTCGTCATGTTTACAGTTTCCAATCGTTTGGTGAGCTCAGAAATTTATCTAAAAACGACTTAGCCCCTAGTAATTTTCAATTTGATGGTATCTCGCTTAGTTTGAATACTATTTGTGGTAAAGATTTGAAGCATGTGCAGTGCATATCATAATCACTTCCATTTTCATGACGTAACCGGAAGTTCGTTAAGTGTTTGTAAATTTGTAGACGAGAACCATTGTTGACAAGACCCACCGAACGTCCCAAACCGGGAAGCTTAAATTAAAGAGGGAGTCCAGAAAACGAGAAAGGGGGCATCATGTGAATTCATGGCTCCAAAAGAGGGAGGCTGGCGAGTAAATCCCCATCCCAAAACTACAGGGGTTGGTATCTAATTTTCTTGTGTGCAAGCTGACCGAATAATTGAAAACCATTTATGTCTTTCTAGCAATAACAAACCATTCTCCCCACGTGCTAATTTATTTTATATGAATATAACATAATTTATTCGACATCGATGATATAGTCAGAACCAAAGCAGTTCACCCTTTAAGTCACACACATGCCTAACAGGGGTGGATCTGGGATCTTAGGAAGGCTGTTACGTTATGCATCACGTGTACTGCAGTTTCTTCTCGGGAGGATGGAAGATTGACATCAGATCTAAGAAAACGGCGGAATATAGCTTTCTTACACCTTTTGGGAAATAATTAATCTTATCTTGAAAATGAATATCGGGGAGAAAAGCACTCTAAAACCAGTTGTGTCTTCATCTGAAAAAAAAAAAAAGGGCGATAAGAAGCTCGACACCCTTCAACAGGCCTTTACCTGTGGCCACCTCGTGATCATCAGTTGAACGTTTATTGACAGTAATTTTAATCGCGTGAGGTAAAACAGAAATTTGTACATTAAACCGTTCCTTTTTTCGCTTTTTGAAGTAGAGAATAGTTTCGTGCGCTGATTAAATAAAACTATGGGTCTATTTTCTCGGAGAAAAACGTCAACTGTCTTGTTTTTTATTTTCGAATAAATTCAACCTTTTTTTCCCTCGAATGTCTCGTCAGAGTTTTCCTAAGTTTTGATTAACTGGTGATAAACAAAAGCTAAACACCTCGTCTGATTTTGTCAATCAGTTGTATGATTACAGACCGACTGAATTAGTCTGTATGTATATATATATATATATATATATACAGATTTCAAGAATACCCTCGTACCCCTCGATATTGTTAGCCCACAGAATTGTCAGTAAGCGAATGAAAACAGCCCTTTATGAATTATACACGTGTAAAGCAAAACTGACCAATGACAAAAGAGCCAGTCCGTAGGATGCATTCTGTGTTATGCTGACCAACACAACCTGTCCAGTCATGTTTAATACAAACGCTTAAAATAATATTTATTTTGGTATGATTTCATTTTGTAAAAATATCGAACACTCCGGCGGCCTGGAACTGAGCGCCTGCTCGAAAATTGCAGTAGTTGGGAGAGCTTATTCGTAATTTTAACGTTGAGAAAGTATGCATCTCAGGAAAGCAGGAATTCTTTTTCTTTCTTTCGCATGCTGCTTTTTGTCCTTTGTAGCGACAGTTCGATTTTCACCACCTAAATATTCAGCGTGCCATAGCAAAGACTTTGGTCATGGGGGTACTGTCTGTGTGTGTTCTGTTGAGCATGGCTGCGATGCCTTCAGCGAGGGAAGTCCTTTGTCAGAGCAAGAGTATGCCGTTTACACCAGCTCAAAGACAGGCGATCGTTTCAATTTAAGGACGGGGAAGGTTAAAAAACCAGGTTTCTCCAGAAAACTACAGCACCCTGCTGAAGTCGAGGTCAAGTTTGTCGTTAATCAGGATGAAGTTTTTCAAACTATACTAGGAATAGGGGGAGCTTTTACAGGTTTAGTATTATTATCCTTTGTCGAGTTGTTATCTCCCTGTTCTAGAGGATCATTTTTGAAAGCTTAAGATTTAACTAAAATCGACAACTTTTACCTCGGGGTATTTACAACCAATATTGCCGAAAACAAATGGTCTCAAATTTTTTAATTGAGCAACACAAAGTTTCTTTGGTTGATTCAACTAATTTCCTTGATACACCAAATGTATAGCTGTGGCAGAGAACAGAGATCAATATTCCTACAAGTGAGGTTATTGCTAATATTTTTAGGCAGATTGAATGAAGAAAAAAATCTTGACATGTCTTTCCATCAAGCTTGTAAGCCAGAGGCAATGGTCTTGGTAGAGACATTTTGGCCCATTCAATGGTTTTATGATCCTCTCAACCCTTTCACTGCCAGACTTGAAGTGATGAAGAATTAATTTCTCCTTACCAATCTCAATACATTTCCAAGGTTACAGGTAATGAGAATGTAGGTTGGAGGGAGGGGGGGGAGTGATGAGGGTGTTCCTGTAGTACTTTTATTCTCCTTTTTATTACGAATTCAAAATGTGATCATCCTATTCATTGAACAACGTGGCATACCTTAAATACCAATGAAACACCAATTAAACATTGTTGAAGGAACCTTCCCCCTCTACCCAACCCCCATCAACCAGTAAATCTTGCTTAAGTCCCAAGTTCATTTTTTCTTCAGATGCTGCTGGAATCAACATATTAAACATCAGCTCCACCTTGCAGCAGAAGCTGTTATCTTCATACTTTTCTCCAGATGGCATTGAGTATTCCCTTGGGCGTATTCCTATGGCCAGCTGCGATTTTTCTACCTGGCCTTACTCTTACGACGACCATGAAGGAGATTTTGAAATGTCAAACTTTAGCTTGGTCATGGAAGACTTCAAGCTGAAGATTCCTTTGTTGTTATCTGCATCAAATATGAGTAGAAGGACCCTCAAGTTCTTTGGAAGTCCTTGGGCTGCGCCTGCATGGATGAAAACCAATGGCAAGATGCAAGGGGCTGGAACATTAAAGGGAGTGGCAGGAGACAAATATCATAAGGCATGGGCTTTGTACTTTGCAAAGTTCATCAAGGAGTATGAAGAAAATGGGGTGAAAATCTGGGGAGTTACTGTACAGAATGAACCTAGCACTGGATTCATCCCATGGTGAGACATATTTGTGGTTCCACAGGCTGTAAAACTGGTTTTTGCATCATTCTGTAAGATAAATTCTAGATGCTCAGGAATTAGACTGTTTCAACCTGAATTTGGCATCAGGTGAAAACACAAATCCTAGATTTATTGTTAACTGTCTATAATGGTCAAAGACAAATTGTTTTTCATTGGGTCCCAAGAAAAATGATAGATGGAAAGCAAAATTTGGGACAGTAGGAAGTAGGGTAAATCGTCCTCCTGACATATGAAAACCATCCTTTCAGTAATTTCTTTAAGCTCAGATTTGCACTTTCCTTTTATGTTCTTTAACAACAGCTTTCAGGTCCTACAGCACTTACAGTCAATTGATGTCTTTCAATAAGGATAATTTTAGCCACAGTAATCTTCACCAGTTGATGTTTCAGACTGGGAGTGGTTTGTCAGGAAGAAAACTCCGATGAGGGTATCTTAAATTATCTATGTAGGTTTCTCAATGTTACCATAGTCTCAAATTATATTTTACTATTGAATAGTTTGTTCACGTAGAGAGGTTGTTTTAAAATGGAATTTGATTAATTGCCTCAGCCCTCCAAGAAAATGTCTAGAAAATTTGTGTGCTATTTCACTGGTTAACCTTTACTTGAAGGTATGCCTTTCAAACAATGGGTTACACAAAGGAGATGGAGAGAGATTTCATCAAAGAGGACCTAGGTCCAACCTTGGAGAAGTTTGGCTACTCTGATGTGAAACTAATGATGGTTGACGATAACCGGATGTATGTTGAGCCATGGGCAGATACCATCCTTGGAGATAAGGAAACAGTTGAATATGTTTCTGGCATTGCAGTTCATTGGTATAATGAGAATGATACCTCACCTGATGTATTATCTGCAACGCACAAAAAGTATGTCAGCATAAATTTTGCTTGACGTTATTTTATTATTTTACTCTTATTTTCATTGGCAGTTAATAGCTATCCTCTACCTCATTATAGTGAACAACACAGTCAGTTAGAAATAAGTATAATTATTATGTTACTCATTAATGTGCTCCCCTCACTGAATATCTTTTACTGGACAGTATCCAGACCTGAATATTGTGTTTAATATTAAACTTAGCTGATACTGTGCATGTGCTACTACTAAACACAGGTGGGTGTTTTCAATCACTAAGCATGGATTAAAGAAGATATGCAGCTAAATTTAGTTGAAACAAGGATGACAAGAATTGTAGGGTACATTTAGTAGGGTAAAGTATCACATATAATGTCACTTTATTATAAAGTAAAGTGGAGGTTTGAAAGAGAATACACAATGCAAACTTAAATGACTATATATCATTTACTATTGTGATTGTCCAGTACTCAAAGTAGCTGAATTGGTTTTACTGAATAGATTTCCCAACCACTTTATTCTAAACACGGAAGCGTGTACTGGCTGGACAGGACCCCCTAGTGAGAGAGGAGTTCACCTTGGTCAGTGGTCTAGAGGAAGTGATTATGCACATAGCATCATTGAGGTGATTTCATATTTTATACAGTTACCGTTATATTCAGAGCAAAGAAATGTTAAAATAATCAAAATAATAATTAGAAGAAAAGAAATATGAAGAAAATAAGATTAGCCTCTCAAAGTGCAGAGTGCTCCCTTTCTTTTTATCTCAAACTCTATGGAAATTAAGCCTTGTAAGTTCCCAACTGACAGATGCTCTCATAACCTTATAGTTTAGATCTTTTAACTATATTGAAAGGACACTTCTATTAAAGATACACCTCTGCAATTGTTTTTTGTGCCTGAAAAATACTCCTTTAGCCTTTGTATCTGTAGTCTTTACCGATGGGAGCCCTGTTTAAAAGATGCTTCTCCTATACCTGGGAGTTCCCCCTGGGATTGTATTCTGAATAGAGATTCTTCTTTATTTCAAACCAAACTAGGCTTCCTAACATCATCATCTTTCAAAACAGACAGTTACTGACACTCTGTTGCTGCCATTATATTTTCAGTGGATGACATGACATTAGTTCTTTTTTTAATCTTCAGAATTTATCCCACTGGTCAAGTGGATGGGTGGATTGGAACATAGCTCTTAATTTGCAAGGAGGACCTAACTGGGTGAAGAACTTTGTTGATTCCCCAATTATTGTAGATGCAGAAAATAAAGCCTTCTACAAACAGGTATAATCCACTTAACATGACAGTCTCAGCTCTTAATCTACTTCCACTTCTGTTTCAGCAAAGTTGTAAAGTTGTCATAGAATCAATGTTAATTGAGCCTTTAAAAGAAGAGGCAACCAGGGGTATCTGAATGCCTCTCCTTTTATTTTTAACTTTTTTTTATTCTTCTTTAATGTTTAGTGTTCCTTGATTGTACTTGATTTAGCTAATCCTTTAACTCCCAAGATGAGATTTTTAATTCTCCCTAGTTACAATAATTTGGTGTTAGATCAAGATGACAACTTATACCAGACAAGATTGCGTATTCTCATCTCTTGTTTGCTTGATAATGTATGGATATTTTTGGGAGAAGTTTCATTTTAATCACAGCAAGACTTAAAGAGTTATAATCTAAACATCTATATTGGCCCTAATTATGTAACAAATTTACTGTTTAAAACTCACATCAACTACAGGATATTTTTTTAACATTGTCAGGTACTCTGAGATTCCAACCAGTTTATGACATGATTTTGTCCAATCTTTTGCAGCCAATGTTTTATCATCTTGGCCACTTCAGCAAATTCGTTCCACCAGGTTCTCACAGAATTGAAGTAAACAGCTCTGAAGAAACTTCCTTGGAGTTTATTTGCTTTGTCACACCAGAGGGCAACACTGTTATGGTGATACAAAACACCGAAGGAAGAAATGTTACCTTTGACATCACTGATAAAAAGGGAGCAATCATCAGTGAAATTATTCCATCTTTTGCAATTCAGACTTATATTTGGTAAATCTTTGGCACCAAAATAACATCAGTATGCATATTCTCCATACTGTTCTCTATATATTTCCTTGGGTGCTGACAAGGAGAATTTGTTTGACAACCAAGAGCTTCTTTTAGTTAGTGATAATTTCCCTTATACCTTTATGTTTGATTCAGGGGTGATATTTTAAAGAGATATTAGATGTTTGTCTCTTTCAAGGGTCAAGGGTCAAAGAGTTAAGGTCGCTAAACTTAACTATTCAGGCCCATGATGTAGCTAGTTCCTGAAAATAATTGGTGAGAGAGAATATAAATCTCTTCATGTAGATTAGCCAAAACCTACCAGCAGGACAAGAAATGTCCCACAGATTCAAATGTGTTTTAATTCATGGGAAGTTTTGGAGACTTGACCTTTTTAATGAACTTTGAGAAAGGGTTGGTCCCTGGAGCTGTGGAGAACCTGATCCCCATTTTCTGAGCCTAAGAATACTGGAAAAAATCATCTGCATTATTTCCACTGCTGATATGAGGAAGGCATCAGATAGGTTTTTCCGGGGTAGATAAAATGTATGTGTGAAGAGTTACTTGGTAAGTAAGTAACAATGATTAATAATTATTATAATAATAACAGGAATTAAAAAATCTCAAGATGAAAAAATCACAAAAAAAGATAAGCGGCATTGTACCCATAAAGAACTTTTTTTATAATATTGAACGATATTGAAAGGGAAGTTTCTATAATAATTTTCCCGATGATTAGGTTATTGAAATAAAGTTGAAAACTTTTAGTTTGAACATATTTTTTTGATGTTTTTGTTATTAACTTACTTGCTATTTTGCCAATGACGGTTGGTTGAGACTTTCTTTAAATCTATTATTGAACGTAATCTGATCGATTTTCAGTGACAGTACTAGTGACTATCGTTTCAACTTGAGCAGAAATCATGAGAGTCGAGTGCCGATTGCTTTTGGTCTAGTCCCCGAAAGCTGATTGGTCCATTTCACTAGGACGCAAAAACGCAAGAAGCGTAAAGCGGTTGTGATTATTCAGTTTCGATCAGCGCTATAGTCTGTTCTTTCCTTAATTAAAATGACGTTAGTAAATCGTTTGTAAGGTGCTGGTAGCTGCATGTTGATATCTGTTGAGAGTACAATGTAAACCTGCTTTTTAAAGACAGTCGTTTAAAGTACCGTATATAATAGATCAAAATATTATCAATTTAAGTCGCACCCAGTAAGAAATATAAAATATAATTTTATCAAGTTTGGTACAACTCGGTTATCTAAACCAACCTTAGAAATGTATATCAAAAAGAGATTGGATCTTTAAAGAAGATCTGTGCCTCATTATACTCACAAATTTAAATTTATCAACTGTTGTGACCTCTTTTGTCGGGGATTTTGAGCTAGCTGTTTTTTGAAGTCCCCTAACTTTACAAGCACGTGAAGCTGTTCTGTTTTCGTTCAAGATGGGGTGTTCAAGAGTATTAAAAATCACCGAATAAAACTATCATCTTAAGAAACAAAATGGACTGGTTAGGGTGCCAGAACCTGTTAAATATGACTAAGGAGACTAATTAAAGGCCCGTCACGTTACCGGGAATTTTGAGAAATTTACCCGAGCATCCCCTCCCCTCTGTACTATTTTCTACTTCCAGGCGAGGCTCTGCCATGGAGCCTGATCAATAGTTGATGGCATTCTCTTGACTTTTGTGCTTGTTGATGAATATATTTTTTACTTTTTTGCGATTTGTTCGTATCAAGAACCCGTGATCAAAGGTTAAAAGGAACTTGAAATATCTTTAACCTGAGATGGACATTACGAAAGAAGTGGAAAGCGCATTGGAAGAAGAAGGTTACGTTAAAATCGACTCGACTTCGTCGAGCACCATGTCCACCTCTACTTCTCCTGTTTCCATTGGGGATAAAAAATCGAGTTCACGTGGCGTCACTTCGGTTCATTCGCACTCGGTGACCCAAATAACGAGCCCCGTTCAGCAGAAGATTCGCACGGATGTTTCAGCAAGTGATCTCATGGAAAATAAGAGTGGTAAATCATCTCCAAATTCATCATCGACGTGGCAAGGCCAGGGGCAAACTTCTGACCAGGATGGCGATGGGAATGATGACTTAACTAGCGGGGTTTGGGGCTGGATGTCCACTGCAATGTCGGTTGGATTACAAACAACGCAGAACATTGGTAGAAATATTATGGAGAAAACCAAGGTATTGTTAAAATATGTTGAATGAAAACAATTCACTTATCATACGTTTTGCAACGTTGTTAAATTCCAAATCGATCAAAATTATTTCAAAATGAAGCCTCATTAGGTTCAACAGTGTGTGAAAGTAATGATCTATAGAATAACATCTGACAAATTTTGATCTTTGTTAATTTAAGATTTTGCACTAAAGCATACATCGGTTTAAACCCAGTACAATTATGTGAGTCTGTTGTTATATCAATATCGTTGGGCTGATGTTGACTGTCAAAGCACTAGTGTGTTATTCTTGCATGCTCTTTGATTAAGTGTCATTTGAAGTAAAACAAAGTCATCGCAGTGGCCTGAATCAGTGGAAACAAATTATTCAATAGAACAGATGAAAAGTCAAATTTAAAACCAGCTTTAAGCAGACTATCATAAGGGCAGAATTCATATTAATAATTTTTAGAATCAGTTATAAATCTTAAAAGCATTTTGAAAATTGTCATAACTTGTCTGTATTTTTCTTCAGACTTCAGTTGAAAGTGTGATCACAACACTTGACCCAGAAATGGAGGACTACTTATGTGAGTAACTTGATTTGAATTTTTAGGGAGGTTCTTTTAATTGTTGATTTAAAGCACCAAAGACTAAACCTCTGCACCATTTATAAGAGCTGTGTTGTAAAAATCAGTCACATTCATGCATCAGAAATATCTTATTTTAAATTCAGTATGAAACCAATAATTTGCAGTATGTGAACATACACTTTGACTTATGGCACTGTAAAGGAAAGAAGCATGAGTAATGCTACCTAATTAGTTCTTTCATATAACCCTTCACACCCTTACTTCACAGCATATATTCTCCAAAGTGTTCTCTATGATGCTTACCAGGAGAATTTGTTTTAAATTTAACAATCAAGAATCTTATTTGATTAGTGATCATATCTTTTATTCTGGTAACCTTTATTTTTGATATCAGAGGTGATACTGTGAGGAGAAATTAGGTGCTCGTCACTCCTAGGGGTGAAAAGGTTATTTCATTGTGAAAATTTACAGTACATGAAAATACATGTATACCTCTGCATGTAGCAGTGTAAAGAAAACAAGTATCAGCCATTTTTCTTGATTCATTTGCATAACCCTTTACACCTTAACATCAGTTTGTATTTTCTCCCAACTGTTCTCTATACATTTCCTGAGGTGCCGATAATGAGAATTTGTGTAATAGTCAAGAGATTTTTATGTTGGTGATCATTTCCTTTATTCTCATGACCTCAATGTTTGATACAGGGTTAATTCTTTTATTTCCAAGAAAAATTAGTCCTAGATCCTAGTCACTGTCAGGGGTCATGGGGCCAACTGATGTATAGCTAGTGTCAATCTATGTATATTTATGTATTTTTTTCACTTTTGCTAGCAGACAGAAGAGAACAGTCTATAAGCCTGGCTGTTGCAACCACTGATACTGAAGCCATAGAAGCAATAAAGGATGGGTTCCGTCAAGTGTTTGAACATGTTACCGTGCAGTCAAATTCCTCGACATCTGGGATTGCTCCCCTTCCTGTAGGATTTTCAGCTGGGGTGAAGGGAGCACAGCATAGAATAGCCAGTTTAGTGCGTGGAAAGAAAGTGCAGGAAGGTCAAGTGATCATTGGAGTGGAAGAAATGTTGTCAGAGCTGTTACCTGGCAAGTAGGTTACTGCTCCCTTTGATGTATCTTTACAGTCATAGTGATTGTTCTCAGCTAGAGAATGATTTATGATATCTGTGACATGAAGTATCCTCTTGCATAATAAAAACTCTATTTTAACAGCAACAAAAACTTCTTTATTTGTACCCAGTTCAAACAAAAAAAGGGAGTTGACTTTAAAGTGGAGTTGAAGAAAAACAATATAATGGCTTCTTAAAATAACTCCATTTTAATAGTTAAGAAAAAACTTGGATTCAAGCCAAATTGCTTTTTTGTCCAGACTTATTTATTGAGTTGACATTTTTCTTTCCTAGGTGGTTTGGTTTAACATGTCTTGCACTGAGTGACCCAACTTCAAAGACAGAGCTTGAAACATTCTCTCAATCAGTCCAAATTCCAAGTTTTTATATCAAGAAAGCAGAGGAAAGCACCCCATCTAATTACAACCTAAGGTGGTCAGGGCTATCATTTACTCTTGGGGAGGTCATGCTTGGCTCTGGGCAAGAGTATGGCGATTGGCATTCTAAAATATCAGGTACAGCTGATTTTAAACATACTGCATTCCTTGAGTTAGAATGAACTTTATTTTGAATCATTTTTTAAAACTTTTAGTCAAAATTTTAAAATTTTGTTGGCTGATAAGTTTGCATTGGAGGCTTGTTTGACTCACAATTTTCAGGCAGAACTGTTCAGCTCCCCCACCCAAATCCAACCATTATACTTTTTTGTTCACTTTTAAAAAGTGGTGTTATCTTAACTCTCTAATCCCCAAGAGTGACAAGCATCAAATCTCTCCTTACAGTATCACTCCTGAATCAAACATTAAGGATTAAGGAACAAAATTATAAATGGGTGACTAATGTTACATAACAATGTGATTTTACCAAATACAAGTGACTGTTTGTGACAGTTTGTGACAACTCGCCACTTATATTTGTTACAGCTGTAAAGGCTTGGGCTGGTTTGCCTTGCTATTTGGAGAATAAGCGATATCAAACTCTTTTTTTTCTTTTCTTTTCTAGGTTCTTCCAAAAGACAAATTCTTACTTTAGCTGCTAGGAGTTTAGCAGGGCAGTTTAGAGAAAGATTGAGAGCTAGTGCTGACTCGCTGATGGAGAATGCATTAGTTATGTAACAAGTTGATACTAACGTTAGAATATTGATGCTATGTAGGTTCTGACTACCAAGATAGATGTTATTATAGTAACTCTAATAAATATTTAAATTGTTCTTCCTATTCCATAAGTATTTTGTTTAACTGCATTAGTAGAGTTCAGGGAAATAAATGGAGAAATTTAATATTCAATTACCTTCAAATGCTCTTTTACTCTGGAAAAAAAATGAAAAAGACTCAAAAAAATAGATTAGAAAAAATTTCACAGTTGTCATTACACAGTAAAAATACAACATACAAGTATTTATCATTAAACAACTTTGTCTTAACCATGAAACATGTTAATTACTTACTGGCATGGAGTTCTTTCTGTTAGTTACACATGTTAGCATTTATATGTACATGGCTTGATAACTTTTCCATGCCAGAGTTTCATGCCTTCATATTTCCCATTAGACCTCTCCTTACATTATATGAAATTTGAATTTGTTAAAGTGAATGCAAAACAAAACATGAAATTAATGATTAAATTCTGTGGGGTGATATTTCCATTCAGTAATAGGTCATAGATGATGTCAACAGTGGCACACGAGGTGCAGTCAAGTCTGTCTCATTGTGGTGTCTTCTATGATCTATTACAGACTGTACAGAGTCATGGCAAAATGGAATCTATTTGTTTTATGACTGATAAGGAAGAAAAATGGAATCTATTTGTTTTATGACTGATAAGGAAGCAAAATGGAATCTATTTGTTTTATGACTGATAAGGAAGCAAAATGTTGTTATTGGTGACGTCATTTCTGTGTGTCTTCCAATATATTATGAGTGATAACCATTCAAAATGTGTGTACAGTTCAGCTGAACATATATTAATACCCTGTATAAGATTTAGTCACCCATTGCACTTCACCATAGTAAAGAATCACAACTTATCTGTTAAACATTCATAGTAATAATAATGCCTTATTACTCCTGGCAATTTATTTATGTGTAATTAGGGTCCATAGCTTTGAGGGTACTTTAGTTTCCTCCCTTGCACCAAGATATTCGAAGGAAATTACATTGTGCACCTCTTGAGAATTTGAGAATTGTATTTAATGCAAGAGTATAATTAATAGTTATTTTAAATTACTATGTGCTGAGTGTTAAAAATGTTAAGTTAAGAGTTTATTGGAGCTAGCCTAATGATCAGATAACTTATGGCTATTTGAATAGATCAGATGTAAAATATATTTTAATTGAATCTAAAATAAAACGCATTGAAGAAGCAATAAAAGACCTTACTAAGGGGGAAAACAGATTTGAAAACAAACAAAGTTGGTGTGAAATAATGTACTATTTTCCATGTTCTTTATTTCCAGGGGTTATTTTCCATACATTTTTGAAGTATAAGTGTTAAACTTTCATTAATGTTTATGTCAGCAATCGTGGGCAGAAGGCATAGGGGATTTAATTATTATACATATGATTATTTTTTTGTGAAAAACAAAGCGTTTTTCTCTGTTCATGGTTGGGACTTCACTGTCTTATTTTTTATGCCAAGAAGCAAATAACAAATAAATGCTGCATGACCAATTTATGGCTGATTTTGAATTTTGTTTTTGGTAGCTTTGCTTGGTTTTCTTCATTCCCATTCGTCTTTTTGTGTTTTTGTACAAGTGTTTGTTTGTTTATTTGTTTGTTTGTTTGTTTTTTCATCAAATTCCTTTTGCCCCCACTTCCCCCTCCCCTCCCCACTCTCCTCCCTCCCCTTCCCCCTCTTCTCCCTCCCCTCCCACTCTCCTCCCTCTCTCACACTTGTTTGCTCTCTTCTTTTGTTTCCTTATTTCTTCTGTTTCATTAATTGTGAGAGAAGTAATATTTTTTCTTTTGCCTTTAGATACTTAAATGTCAAATAATAACAGTGAAACAAACTTGACACAAGCATTGCTCGATTTAAAAAATTCCTGGGTCGTTGTATCATTTCCTTTTTACCTTTTTTTCAAGCAAAGCGTCATAGTTCTTAATACGCATGCGCATAACGAAAACGACCTGGAGATCTATTTGCTAGTAGATAACTCACCACGCAAAAACTTAACACTTGTTATCATCGAATGAGGAAATTTTCACGATACGAATAAAGATTATTTGCAAGCTTGGAATACTAACTATCCCACAATGATTGCGCACAAAATGGTTATATATAACACTTCGACACCGTCACTTATTATCCTTCTGGTTCATTGAGGAGATGATGATTGGTCCAATCACTGTTCCATCAGTGAGACGTGTCTCCAACTTGTTACGCATAGACACGTGACCTCTCTGATCCTGCTAATTTATTTAAAGGATCGTGTAAACATCCGGCTCTTCACGTCAGACAGTGACCACCTATTGACTGGCGTTGATGGGAGACTCAATTTAAAATTTACGGAGTGCGAGTGAATCAAGAGATGTCTCGAGTTTCTGTTTGACTGTTTGGGTAGCACTTCATGTTATTCCAGGATTTTACTGAATATGCTTCCTACAAACTCCTTCCTCTTCAAATTAATTAAAACATCGCTGCAATTTTGTGGTGTTATAACGAATTAAGAGTGAATGTCTCTAAAAATCAAAGAAAAATAACAAAATCGCGGACGTGGTAAAAAAATCGTTTCGTCCCATTTTTTGTCTGCAGGTAGCTATAGGTACTACTTAAAGTGAAGTGAGGTTAGTTTCTGTAAATATTCATTTTAACGGAAATAAATCGATACTAATTGCATGATCGAAAATGAGTGCCTGCCAGCTCTAAATTATGCAGTTTTCAGGCCATCCTTGCATGAACTAAAATGCAACAGCAGGACTTCTCTAGCTTTAAATATATACATGTGACCTTCCATTACCAAGTTGACGAAACCACGGGTTAATTACCAGTGGGCGTGTTCGCCATATTTAATTCATGCCAAACCCGGCCTAATGTAGTGTGGCAGAAATGCATGTGGCAGTTTCTCAAAATCTCCAGCAATACTATCACGAGGGCTTATAAGGTGGGTCTTCAAATTCATCGTTTCATTTTTCTGGTATCTTCTGCTGTTTTGATGTACCAACCAACCAAACTTCGCTAAAATTGTAAAATGGTGCCATATTGAAATGAACAAAATCAACATTGCAATGACACATGCAAAGCATTGTTTGAGTCGCAGCCTCACTTAGCTTTTTATTTTTGCTTTGACATCAATAGTTCCTTACCCTAGAAATCTTTTATAGGCCCTTGTTATTCCGCTTGGAAGATATTTTCGAAGTACTGTCCTTTGCAATTTGGTGTGTAGGGGGCCGACCGGCTAACTCATTGAAGCCACTGAGCCGGGATGAGTAAAATAAAGTTACTTGTTGTTGTCATTTTCTACAGCGTGTCACAACCCAGTTACGTTTAGTCTACTTTGATCCTAATTTTGGTTTTTTTGACGTCTCACACAAAAAGGGTCCCGTACAAAACGGCAGGTAACGCTAGCGATTTGCCGGATTTTAATTTTTCACAGGTTCCTGTCACGCTGCGTGACATATGATAATCTGTCACGTAACGAGATCAACAAACAATTCATTCTGCCTCACATATGAGATCTAAAGAAATATATTGCCATCATGAACGAGAACGATACAACAAAGAAATAGACTTTACAAAATTTCACAAATATAAACCGTACAGTGAAAACCTTATGGAACGAAAATAACGATACAATTTTCCTACGGAAAACATATGTGATCGGTTAACGAAAGTAAACAAAAAACAAAAGCGTAATAATCGTCGGTGAAGGGAATAAAGACAACGGTTGCTTTAACTCCAGCAGAAAAAGAATGTCTTAATCTTTACATGATATTGTGGGTGGCGTTTGTGGCGCAGAGGAAGCCACAAGCGTTTTCTACAATTTTCAGGTGCTGAGACAGAGATTGAACTTATCTTAGCAAGAAGCGGGATTTTCGTGAAGCCTGATACACGGAAGAGCTGCTCCTCTTCCAAATCAGGAGAAAAGGAGAATGAGAATTGAACCTGTAAGATTAGAACATTTTGTTTCTTTCATAACGAGTCCACACGTTACTCAAGATGTTCCTTTCGGGGAAAAACTTCTAAAATTGTCGACTGGCGAGATCATAAAAACACCCAATGTCATCAGAACAATGATACAAGAGCGTATTGTCCAATAGTATCAATACTGCTGTGAAACCAACTTTGAGCCTATGAGTAAGAGAACTCTACAGAGAGTTTGGGCCGTGTGTTCTTCATCTGTTCGCAAGTCTCTGCAAGGACTTGATAACTTTTCAGCATCAGGAGTGGAAGCATTTGATGCTTAGAAAAACTCGTAGACAAGCTTGTTGACTGTGGCAAGACTCAGCAATGAGCGAGGGAAATTAAGCAGCAACTTCGTTTTTCGAAGCAGTACCTAAAGGGCGACTACAAGGTGGGTGCATATTTTATAATTATGCGTTGCCTTTGCAGAGGTGATGTAGTAAACTTCTTACTATGATTCACGGCTACCTCTTTCCTTCTCTCCAAGTCTTCTTTATGCTTAATTGATGAAACAACAGTTTACAATTCACTGTTATACGCTTACACACATGTATACAACGCTGAGAATCGATTAAGTAATCTTTTTGAAATGTCGATCATATGCGCATGCAATGCTCTGTAAACATACATTGAATCACGCGCTTTTCATTTTACTTTTTATTTTAGGTACATGCAGTGGAGGCCTCAAAGGTTCCCGATCATTGTTGAATTTACGCGCCAAGTGACCCGAGCAATGCTGAATTTCGGGGCTCCTGCGACCATCTCCATAAGGAGTCATATGAGCAGTGTTATGAGTTACAGGAGGTACTATGTACCATAGAAGATGAGTGTTCAAGTGCACTCTTGTCAGCAGAAGATCAAGCTGACATGCAACTTACCATCAAACAGGCAAGGGATGATATCATTTGCTGGAAAGCCCATCAGCTACGTTCAGTCCACCAAGCTGAGGCGAAGCATTCAGTTTTAGCCAAACTCGACAGCCGATCGGTGTTGTTAGTCCAGGACTAGGCAATGAAATATATGCCCCGAAAATATCGAGAGGCACAGTCAGATTGGTTTGCGAAGCGAGGATTGCCATAAGACGGTCAGAGGGTTCTGAGAACTTTGAATCGCAGACACCGCATGTTCACGTATTTCAAAGCTGCGCCCAAGACAGTGTGACTGTGGCTTCGATTATGCTTGACTGCCTCACTACCCTGAAAAAGGAAATTCCAGAGCTGGAAATGGCTTATTACAAACAAGATAACGCTGGCTGTTAACACAGCGGAAATTCAATCATCTCAGCTAAGCTGGCCGGTGATGCCATGGGAGTGGCTGTTGTAAGAAACGACTTTTCGGACCCTCAAGGTAGAAAGGGGGTATGTGATCGCAAAGCGGCAACAATCAAGGGAAGGTACGTTGGAAGGTACGTAAACGAAGGCAATGATGTCATCAACGCTCTACAGTTCAAAATAGCCATTGAATCTGGCCAAGAAACCAGAGGAGAGAAAGCAAGTTATGTTGCTGCCAAACCGTCAAGCACCTTTAATATCAAATGGGATGGCATAAGCTTACTCAACAATTTTGAGTATGATGAAAGTGACACACGAGTGTGGAGAGCATTCAATGTGGGTTCCGATAAAGTAGTGCCATGGGCCAAGTTCGAAGGAGCCATGAAGGAGGGTCTGAATGGGGTTTAGTGTTTAGTGTTATTTGTCCATATTTTTTAGTGTTTACTGTTAAATTGGCCATTTTTTTAATGTTTACTGTTCCTGAAAAAAATACTGTTTAGTGTTTGAAAGGAGACCCCAAATTTTTTTTTAAGGATTTTCAAATTTTATCTGCTCTTTTAAATTCTGCAAAAAAATCAAGAAAATCACTCGCGAACAGTGAGCCAAAGCTGAAATGCTCTTCTCCTTAGAACCGATAATGCGCCTTACTAGACCCTCAGTACTAGACGTACGTAGGGGACACGTTTGGTAATCCACACAATAGTTCCTGAAAAGTATCGCTTATGGAAATCCAACCAAAGTAGTGTTTGCAAAAGACCAATTGCACTTGAAATTGGGCCTCAAGGCAAAGTACTGGCGTTAGACTACGATTTCGACTCTCGATAGTCTCGTAGAACTGCTTTTACACCGACCAGTCGATGTAAATGTTCGGAGGGAAGTATTCAAGGATGCGCGTGACCTATGCTTTACCAATGGCGTAGTCTTCGTTGCAGAGAGAGGCTCATCAGCAATCCGTTTCATTGAATTGAAAGGCGAAGTACTTTTCAAACCCGGACGCCTAAAATCGCGAGCTGATTTGCTCTCGCAGCTTAGTCGTTTCAGATTGTCACTTGAGGGTACAGGTCCAGTTCTACAGAAGCGGTTGACGACACATCTGAGATCTTTAGCTGCACAAGTCGAGAACTGAATAAACAAATTGTCCAGATTAACCCCCCTTTAAATAAATCAACTTCCATCTGTGCGGCAAGTAAGGATATCCTCTTGTGTGCAGATGATGAGCAGAGAATCATAATGCAGCTGGAGTTAGAGTACAATGGAGTGGCTATCATTGG